TTAAAGTTCATCAATTTTTTGAACTTTTGACCAAATCTCAGACCTTCCCGAGGCATTTGTGTTTTGAGAGAGAGAGTAATCAAATACTCGTGTGTAAGCCCCAGATGCTAGATTGTAACTGATCTCGTAAAGAAATGTTTTAAAAAGACTTCCGAAAATGAGAGACGTTTTGAAATTTTGAACTCTGGACACGAATTAGATCTTTGGTAATAATATCAGAATGATTTGATAGAGCGTTGAAATAAAATTAAAGAATATACATTTTTTATTATAAATGATAACCTACCTAGTCCTTAACGGTTCTAGAAATAACAACACATGTATTTTCCCTTAGGTCCTTAATTCCTACATATAAAGGCCTTAAAATTCCTAAAATGGTGTTATTTATAAGCGCTGCGGAAGTAATAGTCAAATTATTATTATCAAATAATTATTATTATAATTATTTTTTGAACCCGAATTTTTTATAAAACCCCCAAAAATTCAAAAAAGGGCCCATTATGGGGGTTCAACGAAATTGATGCAAAATCATTGCTGACACCCTTACCTGTCCCAAATGCTACAATTTGTGGACAATGTTCTGGGTCCAGATATATTCTCTTTTGGGTATGTTCAACCGGCTACACAAAGTAAAGTTTTTTTTCTAAATTGAACAGTTGTTGTAAATAGGCGGTCTTCGGCCGGGTCTCGAGATTTTCTGCGCAAAAAATAGGGGGTCCTGTGTCGGTCCTCAAGAAAAAAATAGTTTCCCGGAATCAGGGTAAAAATATCTACATCTGGAAAATAATTCGAAAAAATTTAAGAGTTTTTACTAAAAGCTTGTTGTTTCCTTATTTTCTCGGGGAATTAAAATTTTCATCTAAGCATGGATCTAAAATTGTAGGTATAAATGAAAATTCTTACTAGACATTTGGCTTTCGTTCGGTACTTAAAAGATTTTACTATCGCAAGATTCACAACTCTGTTAAACTTTGAAAAATTCTTTAATGTAGAATTTTATCAGCCGGACTGTGGCTGGGACTGGGACCAATCATGAATATTCCCGCGAAATTCTACTCACGCTGAAAGAATTCTTCTCGGGAGATCCAATCCTCAAATCATTAATAATTGGAGAGAATTAATTAGCGAATATGGCAATGCTAATGGATGGTCTTTTTCGTACCTCGTGTACCCTATTTAGTGAGCAAATTTGAAGTGCGCCTGTTTTTATAAATTAAACAATTAACAATATTAGACACCTAATATCCATGTTGGATATACATGTTGATAAGTCGAAGTAGAAACAAAGAAGTACAAAAAATCTATTTTAAGTGATAAATTACACCAATGTCTCTTGGCCACTTTTTTACTCTCAGGCATATGGAACATATTCGTTGATACTACGAAACCGTGCCTCATCGAAATAAAGGTTCTAGATCCTAGGTCTCTTTCGATTCGTTCTAAAACGAATTTCCGAATTTGGTTTGGAGTAAATCCAGGGTTGTCCGTCCGCCTGTCTGGTTGATGCGCACAATAAATCTCGTAGGGAGTATTCGATTTGATCCAAACTTGGCACATCGTTATATTATTATCAAACTTAAATCAAGTTCGAAGATGGATAAATTCAGTTCACTCCCTTCAAATTCACTCCCTCTAATAACTCTACCACATCGCTTCAAAATTATGAATAACCATGAAGCTCCTAAAACGCAAAATGAGCATCCGATAACTTTCAAATTCTGCACATCTCAATATTTTTATCAACACAAATTCTGATGTGGAGATGGAGTATATCGGTCCACTCCTTCTGGTACTTCCCCCCACAAAGGAATCACAATTTTGATTAATTAAAATGCTTATAAAATGAGATATAAGAATCTCATTCTTTCTAAAATTCACTCATTTCAATATTTTTCCTAACACAAGATCTTTTGTGAAGATGGAATATATCGGCCCAATTCTTCTTGTACCTCCACCACATCGGGTCGAAATTTTTAAATAATTACAACTCTTGTAAAATGCGAAAAAAGCATCGCATTCTCTTTGAATTTCATAAATTCCAATATTTCTTCCATGACAATACCTATTCTCGTACCTCCACACAAAGGGTCACAAATTTCAATATTTATATCTCTGAAACCTTGCGAAAGAAATATTTCTCCCATTTGCAAATATTTTTATTATTATTTTTAGAAAATAGGGAATATTTGGTCCCCTATATTTAGTACCTCACTCGCATTTCAACATTTTCCAAAAAATATTCAAAATTGGCACTTTGTTTACATTTATTTATTTTAGACTTAGGTCAGATAAAAAAGTTTACATTATTGGCCAACATTTGGATAATCATAACACAAGTCAAAATTTATTTAAAAAAATATGCAGACTGACATCACCGAAACAGACAGATTTCACCGACCGATATTTGAAACCATGGACCAATATGGATCCTCTTTCGACACCGGTAGTAGAACCCATTTTGAAGTACGAATACACAATTTTAAGCAAATTCGATGAAAATGCGGCCAAAATCGTAAAAATGTGGAATACCTGGAGGTATTGTGGCACAGCAGGAAAAACACATTACAAGCCATAAACACCAAAAAAGTAAAAAAACATCTATCTTTGGCCGGGCCGAACTCTTAATACCCACACACCATTTAGGAGGAACTTGAAAATGTTCAAAAATACCGTTTAAATGATTACCCTTATACGAGGGCTATACGTAGACGTGGAATTGCATAAGTAATTTTTTGCAATTGGCTGTAGTACCCATTAAAATCTTCAAATACGTCATAAGCTGTACTACCCATTACGAACTTTGAAACAACTCCAGTGAAAGATGTCGCTAAAATCGTCAAAATGCCGACTATAGGGAGGTTTAGTTATATGGTGGCTATACGAAGATGTGGACCTGTATACGAAATTTGTAGGCATAAGTTGTAGTACCCATACAAACTCCGAATATGAAATTTGAAACTATTCGGGTGAATGACGACGCTAAAATAATCAAAGTACCGTCTATCGAAAGGTATGGGGGCTACACGAAGGCGTATTTGTTGCCATGGGTTGTACTACCCGTTACGAACTTTGAATACGACATTTGAAGCAATTCCGGTGAAAAAAATCGCAAAAATCATCAAAATACCGAATATCGGAAGGTTATATGGTGGCTATACGAAGACGAAGACCTACATACGAAATATTTTGCTATAGGTTGTAGTACCTATTAAGATCTTCCAATACGAAATTTGAAACAATTCGTGTAAATAATGTTGCTGAAACCATGAAAATACCGAATATCGGGAGGTAACGTTATATGGGGGCTATACGAAGACGTAGACCGATGCATCTCAATTTCAATACCAACCATCCTAGACACATTACAAAATATTGTCGCAAATTTCAAAGCTCTACGTCAAATAATGTTGGTTCTACCTTGATTTCAAGAGATAGGCATAGAGACATGATTAAATCGACTTATTCATGCTGATCATGAATCCATATACCTTGTGGAATCTTCGACAAATATTTAGAGGTGTTATTTATACAAATTAAAAAAAGGTATACAAATTAAAAAAAGCTCATTTGGAATTCTTTATCTTTCGTAATCATTTTTGTATCGTCGTACAGAAACAGGCCCAAAGTTCTCCTACTCGAAAAGTCACTTGTGATAATAGGATGTTAGGCTGGTATTACTGAACAACATATATTCACTCGCTACAAAGGACTTATTTGAAGAGGTTATCTGATACAGGGGCATTATTTCTGATTAATCTAAAAGGTATGCTACCTATGTCGTAAGGAAAAAATAGAACGCTTACCTTTAGTGAAGATGTTGGTCATACAGCTGGCTGATGGCTGGTGTTTTTCAAATATAATCCATGGAAAGTTAGGAGTCGCGATGTTGAACAAAAATCGATATTTCAAAAACATTTAATTGCAACATTTTCTTTTTAGCTTTCAAAATATTTTTTCAAATCGAAAAAATCACAACATTTTTCTGTTTGACAATTTTTTCCCCAAATTGTGACGTAATATCAAAAAATATACTTCTTTTTTTTTGGTTTCCATAAAAAACACCTCACAAAAAATTAAACACATTTGGATTCTTTTCCTCTATCGGCGGATATTTGGACACAAAACAAATTACATATGGACCACCAATGATGATGATGATGTTCTTGTTGTTGGATGGATCTCAACAAGGAAGAAGCATTGCAAATTGGGTGTGTCCAGACAACATTTTCTCTTTCGCCGTTTTCTTTGACGAGTGGAGTAACACTTTTACACTTTCCAGGGGGGGACGAAAACACCTTGGATTTTCTTCGTGGTTGGACACGTCACAAACACTTCCAAAACACAACAACACTTGTACACTTTGCATGGGATGGATCACCAATTTTTGCATGGATCCTCCCTTCTTCAACTCTTTCATATATTTGGGCAGAATTTGGTATTTTTGTGATATATCGAAATCGTGGAGCGCGAACACGCCAGCAACGTTTCAAGGCATAATTTTTACTTCATTTCTCGGCCTTTTTGCCTTTCATTTCATTTCATTTTCAGACGTCACGTCACGTCACAAACCCCAATAACAGGGCGAGGAAGAACGCGTGGTGTGAGCAGTGATAATTTACAGGGCCTGGAATTTTAATTGGCCTTCAAATGGACCTTTCATGCATGTACACTGTGGGGGAGGGTCTGAGGCGGGGCGGGGGACATATTTTTTTACCATTTTGCAATAAATTCGCACATTTTTTTGACGAAATCTTTTGCAAATTTCTTCTACTGAACCCGATTTTAATTCAATACAAAACGCACGACCGACGACGAAGAAACTTGCTTTAAACAAATTTTTTTGTAGCTCATTGGCGACGAACGACGTCAACGAAAGAAAAACACACACAACCAATGGCCAAGCAGACAGTCAGACACATGTCAGACACACAACATGTTGGCAACGAACCGCGCATTCAAACCCCACGGTTAACATCGAACCGGCCAATAATGTAACCTACAACTTGCAACAATCACAACAAAAAGTCCACCAACGGCTGCTTTCCTTTCCATTCAGCCAAAAAAAAGAAAGAAACACAAAGTTATTGCCGTTTTCCACAAATTCGTTCGTTAGAATTTCGCAAATTTCCCATTTTCATCGACAATTTCCTGCAAGTCTCTCTCAGCACATTTATTCTGGCAAATCACGGTTGGATAATTTTCCTTCGCGAATGCTCCACCATCCCAACCATCCATGTGGGGCCAAATGCAGAGAATTTCCAATTAAAACCAATTATTTCGACCGATCCGCCACGTTATGGCTCCGGCAAATATTATTTTCCTTTGCCCCCAGCTATGCACCGTCGTTTGTTGGGTGATTTCCAGTAATTCATCACTTTTTTCCCAATATTTTCTTTAATTTTTCACCAGAGATGAAAATTTATTGTCATATTATTCTTACTTCACTTTACTCTGTGTTTCACTACTGATGTGGTGTTCGTAAAGATTTTCGTGTGGCTCGATTCGACAGATGTTCGTTTCATACCAACACGTTTTCTTAATTCACCACAGCACCATCGGACCGAGTAAGCCACCACCAATCATCAACATCATCGTTAGGGACAACAACAGCGGTGGTATCGGCAGCAGCAACGGCAAGACTGGTATTAGACACAGGGTTGCCATTCCTGTATATTTTTCACAATGAAAGGGGGAAACCCGTGGAAGGAAAGTGTTGAAATACAATATCATTTCATGTGGCTGTTGTATCCGAGGATTTATCTTTTGCAGTCTTTTTGTTTTTAAAGAGCAACTATAGTGTCAGTTCTTGGCCTAGTAGAATTTTGGCGGAACAACTCTAGTTGAGTAAAGACTTCGATTTTTTTGAAATTTCTTTCCAGAGGTAGTTATTTTTACCCTATTTCCGGGAAACTATATTTTTCTTGGGGAACGGACCCAGGACCCCAGAATTTTGACCCGAAAGTCCGGGTTCAAGACGGATCCACTTACCCGATATAGACTATAGTATATTTGGAAAGAGCTAAGCGATTTAGGCCGATACAAATGTTTTGCAAATGTGTTTTTCATTTGTATATCCTGTTCTTTTGTTTTTAGCAATATTCATGGAGTTCCATCTAAGAATTTTCCCCTTAGAAGAGAATTGTCTACATAGGTCCATGATATCGTATATCCCCCATATAACGGCACCCTTCGATATTCGGTATTTTGATGATTTGAAACACATTTATCAACAGAATTGTCTTAAAATCCACAAAAGGAGTTCCTTGTGAGTACATTACCCCCTGGAAGATAATTATCTATATAGGTCCACGATATCGTATAGCCCCCATATAACAGTTACCCACGATATTCGCTATTTTGGTGATTTTAGCCACATTTTCCAACGGAATTGTCTGAAATTCTACACAAGGAGTTCCTTGTGAGTCCTTCATTCCCTAGAAGAGAATTGTCTATATAGGTCCACGATACCTTATACACCCCGATATTCGGTATTTTCATGATTTCAGCCAAATTTTTTAATGGAATTGTCTTAAAATTCACGTCCACTTTTTAGTATAGCGCCCTTTTACAATCAAGTCTATGGCTGTTTTAGAATGCAAAAATGCTCTGAAAAGGTTTAAATCCTTCCTAAAACTTTGTTGGATCTGAGTTAGTGGATTTAGAGATCGACAGCCCAGTGAAGCCTCCATTATGCCACTTCTTCCAAGTATTGCACAAGCACTATCTTGGGAGATTCAATCAGAACTGGCTGTGTTGTCATGTCTCCAAAAAAAATATGGCCATATTGTCCTCCTTCTCTGAATGTTAACCAGCAGCTATGCTTCAGTTAGCCAGAAGACAGAAATAGCTAAAGACAACACGCTAATTATGGTGTAGCTATACTATTATAATCTTCTTATCCCTATCTTCTAACTCTATCCTTCTTCTCCATTTTCCTATTATCTCTGTCTTTTTCTTTTTCAGATGGGATGAACACAATGGACCAGCAGGTCATCGAGTGGAGTGGTTTTTAAGTTTCTTCCAAATGTTGGAGGGTATAAAAAGTTCGGTCCGGTCGAACTTTGCTGGTTTTTAACTGTTTTTTATTTGATAGTAATGACAAAACATTTTACCGTCGTTAGAAAAAATGTCAGATCTTGAAGAAAATAATCGAATCGAATGTGTATTTGGTGGTAGAATACGTTTTTGATTTAAAACCATTTGCCTTGTGAAAACGCCAAGTTACTCATTTATTTCACAACTCAAATGTCCCATACGTATCACACGATATGTGTGATTTTTCCAAATTTAGATATAGCTCCCATATATATCTTCAATCTTCAGCCCAGATATACATCTGCCAAATTTTTTTAAGATCGGTTCAATTGAATTGTACACCAAATGGTCAATATCAGTCCAAAAGTGCGGAATTTTGGTACATCCGACCGAATTTAGTCTAGAAGCAACTACATCGAATTCGGAGAAAATCGGTTCAAATATAGCTATAGCTCCCATATATAGGTTTCATCCGATTTGGTGTTTAAGTCCACAACATTCGTAATAGGTATTCGGCAACAATGATATTTGGTACCAGAAATCTTATAGAGCTCGGAAATACCTTTGCAAATTTTATCGAGATCGGCTATGATCGGCAACTCGGCTCCGATATATATTTTTTAATATAATCCTTCTCCAAGTGACATCATGCACTCTATAGCTATGTTATTTGTTATAAATGATAAAAATATCTCCGTCAAATTAAGTGAAAATCAATTCAGAATTGGATATAACTCCCATATATTAGTTCTCTCTAAATCAAATTTTAACTGCTCTAAAGCCAAATGTTGATAGTGATGGTGTGATCTACTTCAAATAAATTATTTTCCTACGGGATTCTCGCAGTTAAACGAAATATATTATTAAGAGTTTTTTTTTTTAATTTCAACAATTTTGATGTTACAGATTATTGGTCTGTTTCAGTAAAGCAGGAATGTAAAAGTTTTTACTACAATAACCGTTTTTCCCTTTACGATATCGAAAACAGTTGTAAAACAAGTAGATTCTTGCAGGTTCTTGCGCGTGCTTTCTTTTGTATTTTGAGCAGATTAATGAGCATGCGATGGACCTGCATTACATCTGGTTCTGAAATATTATTTCCAAAATCTTTCAATAGACCAACGGATCCTTCTATTGCTTGAACTAATGTGGGATTTATGCAAAATTTCCATCGATTTCATGTTTTTATCCTTGGTTAGCTATTCGTACATACTTCGTTTACCAATACTCCCATTTTCCCATATGGGTTATTATCTATCCAGATATCCAAATCCCAAAATAATGAGAGGACCCTGACTAGTCAAGATAATTTCATCCTACTCTTCGACTAAATCAAGATAACTGTTTTTTTTTATGGCAAAACGCATGTCATTAAATATATTGATCGCTTTTTGACAAATATTGGTCAACAAAATAATGATAATAACAACAACAGCAACAACAATGAGTAACCATTAACCCGCATTAAACTCCCTCGAAACTGAAAATAAAACAGCAACATTAAATTAGTTCGAAAAAATCGGCATTTTTTTTCGATTTAATGTCCATTTCCATTTTTATGTCTGAATGCCTGCCTCTGGCTGAGAGAGCAACACACGTGAAAATAATTTCAAAATTCCAACAAAAGAAAAAAACACACACAAATAAAATCACCGTATTACAACAACAGCAAGTTATTAACAATAAAAAATAAAAATTACCTAAAAAATAACAGACACGAGAAACTTAAAGCAGCTTAAATTCATATTGATTTGCTAGAAGCTGACGAACGAGTAGAAGAAGAAGAAGCAGAGAAAAACAACATTAAATGGTTGTTTTGCAAAAAAAAAAAAAATGACGAAGAAACAGCAACAACAATTGGAAACAGAAACCCCATGCACACACACACAGCCACACAGAGAGGGATACATACAAATAAATTTGCCAAAATGAAATGTGGCAACATGGCATCGTGATAAATGTGCTGTGTTGTCAGAGTTCATATTGTTGTTATTTCTGTTATTTTTTGCTCGTTTTCACTGCTAAAGCCGCGCTGCGTTGTTGCTTTGCTGGTGTTCTGCTATGTTGTTACTGTAGCCAGTGTTTTATTTCATCCATTGGTGATGTTGTTGTTGCTGCTGCTGTTTTTTTGCGTTGGCTTTTTATATTGCTGTGTGTGTGTGTGTGTAGTTACTACTGCCTCCGCCTTTGCCTTCTCCCGCTGCCGATGCCAACGTCGTCAACGATGTCGCCTGGTGGCCATATAATGCCAACATCGTTGTTGCCGTTGTTGTTGTTATAATAATTATTTTTATACACCTCATCTGCAATTTATATCAAATATAAATAAAAATGGAAATAAAATGAAGTGGTTGATGAGGGAAAAAACAAGAGGTGTTAAGGGAAAACAAGAGAGAGAGAGAGGGAGAGCAAGAGAACACAGCAACGAACGGGAAAACGGCAGCCCAACAGAGCCAACAATAACAATGACGACGATGACTGAATATTTAAGCAAGCAATATAAAAGAGAGGGGAACAGTGAGGCAGGCGGCAGGTATATACTCATCTACAATCTCCATCAGCAGGCAGGCATACACACACTCTGTGCACGAAACTGACATACCGACAAGAATCAAGTTAAAACATGCTGCCAACACCAACACACTGCCAGCAACACCAATCAAAGAAACGTGCAACTAACTAAACCACAGACAAACTGTCAGACGCAGCAACGAACGGTCGACGTAACAGCCAGTCAGACAGACCGTGCTTAGAGCAGAAAACAAAAGCGAAGGAAATCATACAAAAACCATCATTATTTTATTTTCAACCATCCATCCATTTTGCAGTCGCATTGTTGTTGTTGCTGTTATTATTATTCCTTTGTATCACCCCACATGGACAGTATTAGTATTTTCAGCAGCAGCGTCGTCGTCTTCGTCGATGTGGTCGTTTGTTATTTTTTTATAGCTTCGTCTTCTCTGTTTACCCCTTTGCCGAGGAGGTTCAGTTCTTTGCTTTCTACGTTTATTTACCGGTTCGGTTTTGTAACACCACACAGACTCTGACCACGTTGTTGTTGTTTTTTCATCTCGTTTTGATTTTTTTTTTTCGAATTGCTCCGTATAACTCGTTTAACCAGTCCCACATTGGATGAAACATTCCTATGTACATACATCCGTACGTACACATAGCAGTCATAAAAAAGAATATTATCGGCGAAACATTTTTTTGTATTTTTTTGTTGTTTTGCTGTAAAAAGACTTTGTTATCTGTCTGTTGTTTTTTTTTCTACCACTGCTCTCTATTTAATTGCATTTTCTCTCTTCTCAAGAAATGGGATTTGTTTTGTTTGGGTGAGAGACAGAGAGAGAGAGAACACATTGTGCATATTTTGTGGTGGGAGGAAAGCA